GAGAGAATCCGTCTGTTGAACGAAAGTCCTTTTTTAACCCACTCGCGACCGGGCGGGATTTTCGAAGACTGCCCGTTCGGACCAGCGCCGGCAGAGGCGATTGCGCAATGTCAGCCACCGGTGGCTGACATTGTCCCAGGGGAAATCCTTGAGCTGATGAAGTCGGCTAGCCTACGTGGTCATACAGAACAGTACAGGTACCCATGTAGGTCATTCAACCAGAAGCAGCATTTCTCTCGAAACCCTGATGAACTGAACAAATTTTTCTGAATTTCTAGTCGTGTTCTAGTAGAACATCTCAGGGGCATCTTCGTCATGAGTAATAGTGCGGATAAACGCCAGTTAAAAATTACACAAGAGCGTGTACAAGCAACCCTTGAACACGGAAGTGAATCGATGGTGATCTGCCTTGGAATCTCAATTCCGGTAGGCCACGGAGACTATTCAATGTTGCCCTTGATAAAGGAGGAACCATACATTATTATGTCTATTTTATCTGTCATTAATCTTAGGTAATTGTTCTTTTTCTCAGGGTGACCTTATATTATGAAACGGTGCAAAAATCGAAAAATAATTACAAAAAAGTTCGAAGAAAAGCTGCTCCCACCAAAATTGCGATGGAGTGGTTGCTCATGAAACGGACGGGACGTTGCATGCCAAGGTTACTCTCCCTGGCTGGGTGAGTCTCACCAAGGCGTGATTCAACGTATGCCTTGGCAGTAATTTCTCTGTCCAAGGCCTCTAGAAGACTATCGATTTCCATAGTATCAGTTTCTTGATGTTTTACAAGAATGTTTTTGACGATCTCGTATGGAAATTTTTTCAAAATAGTCTCGGACCACATTGGGTCGCAAGTATTTCTGATGTCGTACCCCGCGGAAACCATTTGGTTAACGAGAGTTTTGACCGAGTCATAGCATTCTTGGCAGCTGTCCGCCTTCTTAGATGCTGGTTTTAGTTCAAAAAGTTTCTGAACTATTCTGGATTTATTGGCTGGCTTATTGCCGTATCTTTT